CCCGTGGAGATGGGTTTCACCGGCGTTGTTAAAGTTGTCGAGGACGTTGAGCCACGCAGGGTCCCACACCCCGAAACCCACCGTGGAGAGTTGTACTGGTTTGTGCCTGTGTGCACGTTATGGGTGCTGTGCAACTCCTACCAGTGTGTTTAATTTCACGTGTGTGTAAGGTCTTGCCGGTGTACAGCAGGCTGAGGACCTTTGAGCCAAGGCTGAGTGTGAGGCTCTGCAGAGCTGTGGCACTGATTAGTAGGAGAAACAAACAAAACAAAACAAAAACCTTGGCAGAACTCATCTGAGATTGATCAAGTTTTTTTTAAACTGAAAGAGGGTCGATTTAGACTAGATACAAGGAAGAAATTTTCCACTATGAGAGTGGTGAAGCATTGGCCCAGGTTGGGAGAGAGGTGGGAGATGCCCCATCCCTGGAAACATTCAAGGTCAGGTTGGACGGGGCTCTGAGCAACCTGATCGAGTTGAAGATGTCCCTGCTCATTGCAGGTCTTTGAAAGTCCCTTCCAACCCAAACTATTCTATGATTCAATGATTTTTTTATTTTTTTTTTTCTTTGTGTCAGAGCTAAGTACTGTTGGGGTCTTAGTCTGTGAGATGGATCCCACCCTGCAAGCTATAAAACTGTACCCGAGCAAAGAGCTCAGAGCACGAGTCCAGGTGCTGAATCAGGCCCTGAGTCAGTAGGGACAAAAGGTTAATTAGGTTGGCCAACCTGTACGACATCTGATAGCCCAGCTGAAGTGGACAGTGTAGTATGAGGGAAATGGCATTAACAGTGGGCACTGAGATTAGCAGTCTCGACAGTAGGTTTCTAAATTTATTTTTAAAGAAGCCTACAAGGTTGCACATTCAAAATACTGAAAACATTTCCTGGGTCTTTGCCTTTTGTTTAACAGACACTTTTTGCTATCCCTTCTGCTTCCTCACTGCCCATCACAATCTGGTCTCCGAGTAGCAGGTTTGCACCTGCAGTCTTATGAAACTAGAGAAAGTTTGGTTCTTCACAGCAGCTAAAAAAGGAACCCTAGAGAACAACGTGAAGGCTAATACATAACAAGTCCCTTGGGAGTTTTGAACTGAGATTAGCAATGCATCTTTACATACATGCTGCTGCAATGTAACACAAGAAAGGAACCAACAAATTTTATAGCAGGCATCTTTTGAAAGGTATCTTGGCATCCAACCTTGATTCAAAAGAAAGGTCTCTGGGTCTGAAAATGTAGTTTGAAACTGAAACTGACTTTGTCGTTGTAAATCTGTAGGACTTAAGCAGGAAAGCAGTAACTTCCTTGGAAATTGATTGTAGCTGTCACTGCACAGCAGGTTGGATTATGAAATTAATTCTTTCCATAATAAATGAACGTACTGCAGATGGCAATTACCATTTTCTCCAGTTATCCTTTTTTTATAAAGAGGCGGGATTTGCTGTGAGAGATAGTACCCTTCTTTAGGTCAAGAGTTGATTAAACCAGGCAAGCCTTAGAGTACCTAAATTCTCCATCAGCCCATCATAGCACAGCATCCCCACAGCTCATTCGCTGTGATCAGTATGCCGAGAAGAAAATTGGCGGTGCTGAATTCTTCCCAGGTTGTGATAATTCACAACATAATTTACAACTTGCCTTATTCTGCATTCTAGTTTTCTCTTTCACTTTATCGCTTAATGTGTTCTCTTTCAGCAGTTTATTACAAATGAGTTGAAAAGGAGGATGCGGTTTAATCTCTTTTCTGTATCTCCTCTGATTAGGACTACAAAACTAAACCTTACGTGATTGAATCCGCATCTGATGTACATCCTTGTCATGCTAACTTTAGTATATATAGATTTGTATATGTATGTGTGAACCGTGTTTTCACATTTCTTGTATTTCCCTCAAAATGGGAATAAGGGTAAAATTTGCAGCAGCAGCACTCAAAAGTCACCTGGGTTCATAAATCCCATTTTCAAGACTACTTTAAGGTCTTTTAAGAATTTCAGAGTGGCTTTGTCTTACTGCCACTTAGTGCCTATCATTTCTGAGAATGGCACTTGGGCTCACTGAGTACTTTTGAAGTGTTTCCTCTTGGTTCCTAAAAGTAATCTGAGGACGTGTTGATGTGTGATATTAGTTCTTAGGCAGAAAGAACTGAATAAAAGTTATCTCTTGGCTCACTGTATGTGTTCCTTTCCCTGCAGCTGTTTGGAACAATAGTCTGGATTTTGGTAGCTTCTACCCGAATTCCACTGCCGCTGCTGCAGGGATGGGTAATGTTCGTAGCAGTGACTGCGTGGTTCTTGTCCATTGTGTTCCTGTGTGTGTTCCTCTTTGGTTATGCAAATAGAATTGCTGTCAACTGGAACCAGACGGTAAGATTTTTTTTCTTTATTTAAGGATTCCCTTTGTTTTATAACCTGAAAATCATTTAATGAGAAGTACTGATCCTAAGTCTTAATGCCTGGCCTTCTGTTTTAGCAGAAGGTTTTTCAAAACAGAGGAATTCAAAACTGGAAAAAGAAAGAGTAGGGCTACAAGGGTGACACAGAAAATACAGGACCTGTTTTATGATGGCAGCTGAAAAAGCCCAGGTTTTGAAACTGATTGAAGAAGTATAGTTGTCTTCTATGAGCGCATAAAATGCATGAGTGGCAGGAAGAGGACTAGTTTAACAAGGCATGACAACAAATTGGTTTAAATGGCCAGAAATAATTGTGGACTGGAATTCGGAAAATATTTTCTGACTATTAGAGAAGTGGTAGCAATACCCTGTGAATAATGGGGGGTAGAGAGATACATCTAATATTGTAAAGGAAGTGATACATTTGTGAACACATTGTGTGATGTGGTTGTCTGAGATAGCACAGACTGGACTAAAGCACCCAGGAAGTCTCCTCCGGTTCCAAAGAAAGTCTTCAGCTGACTTTTGGGTCAATTCCTTAAAGCTAGGGCAGCACTAGTGAGTGGCTGTCAAAGACAGCATAACCAGCAGTGTCTTAACATCTTTTCAGGACACTTAACATTTATCTTTCTTAGAGGAAGCCTGGTGAGACATCATTATTCTCTGCTCAGCTTTTCTTAATTGTGAAGACAAGACTTGATTCTTGCTGTAATGGATTGTTATGGCTTGTGCCAGTAGTTCTCACAGACTGTACCTTCCTATTAAAAAAGGGAAGCTGCTGGCTCCAGTTTTTACCAACCACATGGATACCTCTGGTTATTGATAGCTAATTTATGTACTCCTTTGTTGTCAGTAACTGTTTTTAGCGCTCAAGTACTTGAGCACGAGATGGTATTACTCTCTCTCATATTACTAGAAGTAAAGCCAAAACTGTGATCAGAATGGGAATTTCCAAGAAATCTTCCAAAAGGACCAGAACTTATAAAGTATTGAAGTATGGCTGTTTGTAACTGCTGATCATCTTTACCTTCCTCCTGTGCAGCTTAATTTTCTTACTGACACTTTTCTTGATCATAGCTGGAATTGTGTGCTTCAGTATCAACATCTGTGGTTATTTATCTGTTTCAAGTTATTCATGGACAGCCCCATAAAACAAAAAGTATTTCAAGCAAATCATAGAGCTTCGTGAGTTTGGGGCTCTAACTGATAACTTCAGAGCCCATCAGTGGTAACAGACTGGATTCTATTAAAACAAACTTTAGCACTTTGATAGCATATACACATACGTACAGTGTCAGCTTTCCAGCACGGTACGGGCAGTAATTAGGCTAATAATGAGTTACAATTACAGAGGTCTTTACAGGGATTTATACTGCGACATCCTCACAAGTTATGATGCAACAAAGCCCTTGAGCATGTGCATAACTTCAGTAAATTAATAGTGTCCTGGGTTTCATTGAAACTGTTTGCCAATTTACAATCACGCACCATTTAAGAGTTGCTGGGTGAGGGCATAGCCTTTTATAGATTGAAAATGCTATACAAATGTTCATCTTATAACAACTGTGTAGGTGTGTCTTACACATTGGCTACTTCATGCTGGCAGTGATTTGTTGTACTGTTAATCTTGTCCCCTTCTATATGATAAAATACTGAAAAACTTTCTATGTTTCTTTCAATTTCTAAATTGCTACATGAGTTGTATAAAAGCTGCATCTGGGGGACTCTATAACAGTCTAAAAACATGTCATAACTAAGTTAACATCTTAAACTAATTCACTCTGCATTTATTTATCTCTAACATGGTAACTGAAATCCATCCCTTTCCAGCTGTTGAAAAAATAACATTAAACAGATCATTTGACCACTACTTTCGGGTACTCAGATGTTCTATAAACTCTTTAGCAGCACTTCACAAGGGTTTTTTACCTTCTGTTGCAAATAAGTAATTACTATAAGCACTAAAACTATTTTTATTACTATAAAATAAAAAGGCATACCTGTTTGTTTTAGGTTAGCATGTATTTAGATAAATACATGTGTTTTGCTATTTCATAAATTAAATATACAATAGAACTCAGAAGCTACAGGTCATTAAATAAGGTATAAAATGGGAGGAGTCATGGCTTAGTTATATTGGAGTACTATAGCTTCATGTAGAGATTCATGAACAAATGTGGTTCAAGACTCCAGGATTTTAAATGTAAGTTTGAAAAATAGCATGGGATTCTGACAACTTTGTATTTGGTAATACCTTGTCACTGATACTAATATAGATACTTATGAGATGCTATACAGTGAAAAGATGAGGGAAAATATGGATCTTATGGAGGTACATCACTGTGCGTCACTGTATTAAACCAGATGGTATGACAAATACTATCCTTTACAGCCTGACTCACAACACACTCATTAACAAAATCAGATGTGAACTAACATATCATGCAGATCTGGTAGTGTTTTACATACACTTTGTAAGAGGTTTCAATGATTATGCAAGTGTGGAGGCAAGGGAGAGTTAGGCACCATGCTAACAATTACTAAAAACCAAAAAACCCTCCCTTGTAAGATCTTGGATTTTTTTGGTCCCAGAAACCATAACCATATGAATGTGAAACCTTACTGATGCTACATAGCTTCACTGTAATTGCTGCCAGGAGAAGGAAATTAGAGGGTTTGGCAGGAGAATGAAGGAAATGAAAGAGTTTGTCTTCTGAAAATACCTCTCCTGTACACAGTCAGCACTGTCTTCCTCATGGAGCTACTTGTGCTCCTTCATGAGCAGTGGTGCCAAAAGTGTACAGCTGGTAACACTGACATAGTGGCACACCAGGTACTTAGCAGCCCAAGAAAAAATGGATGTCCTTGCTTGCCCATGGGTTTACACAGACCTTTCAATTTGCTGGAATCCTGTGCTATGAAATGGGTATGTCAGGCCATGACACGGGGTCCAGTATCTGTCACACCATGAACACGCACCTGCATGCAGTCTGACATTGCGCGTAGGCGGTAGCATGAAAGATGCATATGTCTGGCTGCCAGCTCAAGTGAGCAAGGGGAAGCCACAACAGTAAGGGTCTGGTGGGGAGAAGTGCCTCCCCCAGCCGCAGCAGAGCTCTGCAGCTTCTCTGATGCTTCAGCGCTCTCATGCTGGAGTAGGTCCCTACTATTTTTCTCTATGAGGTAGAGATGTTACTGCAAAGTGGAGACTGAGGGAACGTGTCTTATGCCCAAAGCTTGAGATCTGGCAAGCCTAGCACATAAAGGCTGTCCAGCTAGGTCAGGAAGCCACCCTCTGCCCCCTTATCTTCTTAGTTCTGTTGATGTCAGTGGGGTCTCCTGGTGATACTCCAAGAAGAAGTAATTGTTTTTAAAAAAACAAAACCAAAAAAAGCAACAACCCAGCCAGGATGGAAAACCAGAAGTTGGGAATTATTGCAGCTGTTTTGCCAGAACTTGGATTGCCAGTAATTAGCAGACATTAAGAAATGGAGTACCCTCTATGACCTAACCTTAAATGATCAAATGATTCTTAATTAAGAGGAAATTATTTCCTGGTTAAAGTGGAATGGGAAATTGTAGTAGCAGCTTACATCATAACTTAGCAAAATTGACTAGGTTATGATATAAGTAGCTTTAGCTGCTATTAATGTGGAACAACTGAGGAGTTTGAAAAGAAAATTCTTTCAATAAAAAGAAAATCTCACATCTATGAAGAAACAATTCTTTAAACAGGGAAATGTAGCACGTTCTTACTTTGATATCTGTTGTGGTTTAACCCTAGCCAGTAACTCAGCACCACGCAGCCACTCGCTCACTCCCCCCTGGTGGGATGGGGAAGAGAATCGGAAGAGTAAAAGTGAGAAAACTCGTGCATTGAGACAAAGACAGTTTAATAGGGAAAGCAAAAGCCGCGCACACAAGCAAAGCAAAGAATACATTCCCCACTTCCCATGGGCAGGCAGGTGTTCAGCCATCGCCAGGGAAGCAGGGCTCCATCTCGCATAACGGTTACTTGGGAAGAGAAACGCCATCACTCTGAACGACCCCTCTTCCTTCTCCCCCCAGCTTTATATGCTGAGCATGATGTCGTATGGTATGGAATATCCCTGTGGTCCATTGGGGTCAGCTGTCCCGGCTGTGCCCTCTCCCAGCTTCTTGTGCACCCCCAGCCTGCTTGCTGGTGGGGTGGGGTGAGGAGCAGAAACATCCTTGACTCTGTAAGCACTGCTCAGCAATAACGGAAACATCCCTGTGTTATCAGCACTGTTTTCAGTACAAATCCAAAACGTAGCCCCATACTAGCCACTATGAAGAAAACCCACTCTATCCCAGCCGAAAGCAGCACAATATCAGTCAGTTAGTAGGTAAGGATGTTGCACAGTAATTTTTAGCAGATATGAATGCTGTCTTCTGTTGTGATGGACTCCCACAAACCCTGGGTTTTCACCCTTGTCATACTGGTAGTCCATTGCACTCAAGTGAATTAAAAGTGCATAAATAATTCATTAGTGCTGGAGATAGACTGTATAACATGGGTATCGTCAATATACTTGTGTCTAATTTTAAAAAATGTGTCTATGGCTTTTGCAGACCTGCATAGCTATAGGCACAAAGTATATGTTGTATGGACTCAGGAACTGAGTGCAGTGCAAATGTCAGGTTTGCAGACTCAGCAGCAGAAGGAGATGTTGGAAGAATATTTTAGACATTTTAAAACTGTACTGGAACATGTCTTGGATCTTGCTGTGTGGAACACTGGACTCTGAAATACAACCCGCAAAGAGATTTAGGCTGCTTTTTCATGCGCTCCAGTAATAGAATCCAGAAATGGGAGTTAGATGTGTACACCTTGTGTTCAGCTAGCATTCACCACAGAGGAGGGAATCGCATAGAGAAGGCCAGGACAGAAGCATATTTAAAGTAAACCCAAACTCCCATCCTCTCAAGGCTCAGGCTTTTTATTCCGCA